TGTTCAGGAAGGTGTACAGGTCGCGCTGCTCGAGATGCTGGAGCTGGAGATCTACCTGAGCTCTGTTCTCCTCCTGAGTCCTGCTGAGCTTTGATGGAGGGGGGGAGGTAGTAACTAGACTAGAGAGAGTGTAGTGTAGAGCTTCCTTTCTGAAAAATTTGACTAGCCGTTTCAAAGTACCCCACCCCCGTGATGTAGCTTCATGACCCACCCTGTTACCCCGACTTTGAACCCTGCCCTCAAAACAACTTTCGTGGTCTCATCAACTTCTCTTGCACCCCCACCCCTCTCGGAGGTTTCGAGTACCCACCTTTACTCCCCTTTCCACCCCACCATTCATAATGGCATACCCCTACCCCACGGGGTGCGAAATCGGTCTGAGCCCTCATGGCAGATGCACCGGGGGAATCTCGGCATGGGGCGATGGATATGGTGGAAGTTGGGAAGAGCAGGGAGGAGGAGAGGGAGGAAGGGCAAGGGAGGTACCTGAGGAGTGACAGCCCAGGGGACAAGTCGAAGACCTTCTACTTCGTGTCCGACCCTTTCAACCACGAGCTGAGATGGTATGCGGACAGAGGAAAATGGCAGGAGAATCTGGATCCAGTAGGAAGTCTTGACTTGACAGACTGTCGGGTGAGCGATCACGGGCACTGTGTTGAAGGATACTGCCTCCACTTGTCGAGCCATGATGGCAGGAGCATCAGGCTTTTCACGGGGGACGGTGAGAACGGGCGAGCATGGTTCCTAGCGCTTAATCATGCCGTGCGCAAGACGCGAGCGCAGGCCCCAGCGCAGCCTGCGGCAGAGACTCTACGTACGCAATGGAAGGTGCTGAAGCGCATGAAAGGAGGCATCCATGAGACTCGCATCCTCGTCTTGGACTTCGACCTTAGCCAGCTGTACAACATGTCGGAGGACGGAGTCGTCAAGAAGAAGTTCAGGTTTTCCGCCATCTCCAGGCTCACGCAGGATCCTGTCTCGAGTGTTGTGACGGTTCACTTCAACATCAGGAGGCAGAGGCCTTACCAGCTGAAGTTCGAGAATGCAAGCGATAGGAACAACTTCGTTCAGTCTATGCTGAAATTTGTCATCAAACCTTCCCACATCTCGGAGGTTGAATCCAACAGTATACATGAGCTCCTCTCCGTCGAAGAGAACGATGCTCTAATCTTTCAGCGATGGAAGAATAACATCTGCAAGGTATACCTGTCCCTGTCCTCTCCTCTCCTCTCCTCCCCTGTCCTCTCCTCTTCTCGCCTCTGCTCTGCTCTGCTCTGCTCTCCACTCCCTTTTCTGACGGCTCTCCCAGGACCCTGAGATGGTCCAGCGTCGCGATCCTCGTCTAACGACCAAGATCAAGCTTCTCCTCAACAGAATCATCTACATCCCTAGGAACCCGGCTGAGCCCGTGATAGACGCCGAAGAAGGAGGGAACGTCATTCATCCTAGATCACCTGCCGCAATCGCTCTGGCCGCGCTCTCGGGCGTGTGCTTGCTGTACACTGTTGCGACCGCTCCCTACATCCTTGCTTTCTACTGGGACAAAGGAGCATGCACATCAAGCAATCTAGATGTGTCGGACATGTTTGTAAGACGATGGAGGGATGGGGTGAAAGATGCTGAGTGCGACTTGCAGGTCGACACGGTCTTCATGCTGGAGATTGTGATGGTGATGAGTTTGACTCTGTGCAGGAGTGTGTTCAGCTGATATGAGTGCTTGCAGTCTTTCTGCATTGGAAGATACGTGCATGGCAAATACCTATCAAAGTATGTCTGACTTGACTTTGTGAATGATGATGTATCGAGTCGATGTTCTGTGCGTGATGACGATGGTGACATGTCATGATGATCAAGCAGATAACCTAGAAAGACGGCAGAACGAGGTTGACGAGGAAGAGGAAGATGAGGAATGATAGAGATAGAGACAGAGATAGAGATAGAGATAGAGATAGAGATAGAGATAGAGATAGAGATGAAGGATTTGATGCTAGCGATCGTGATGATAGGCTTGTTGTTTTCAAGTTGTTGATGTAGTATACAATCACAACAATGCTTGTCCGTCCTCAGTTTGATCGTCTTGATGTGATCAACCTGACCAAGACTCAGGTTTGGACTCGTCGCTCGGGACTACATCTACTCTGGCCAGCTGCTCTTTGACTGCATCACCTCCATCCCCGTCGCCTGGATCGAATACTCTCAGAGGATTCTGTGCTCAGAGGACAAGACAGGGGACGGACGTTCCGTCGTTAGCCTCCTCCGCGTCGTCCGTATCATCAAGCCGCTCCGCCTGCTCCGCCTGCTCAGAATGCTGAAGCTCTTCAATCACAGGCTGTTCAAGGCTGTGAAGGACTCGATGAGGATCAAACCTGACGCTGTGCGCGTGATCAACCTCGTGTTCATGGTCATGACGTCCTCGCACCTGTCCGCCTGCGTCTTCTGGCTAGTCAAGATCCTGTCGAACCCCGGGGAGGACGTCAACCGCTTCCTGGAGATGAACAACCACCACGACCCCTGGTTCTGCGACTCTCCTGACCAGGTAGGGGACCTGAGCTGCAAGAGGGGGAACGTCTTCAGCGTCTACATCATGTGCATCTACTTTGCTATGACGACCATCACGACGGTGGGCTATGGCGACATCGCTGGGTCCACCACGGAGGAGCGGATAGTCTGCATGTGCATACAGTGCTTCGGGTACGTGTGAAGGAAGGGAGGGAGGAGGGTGAGAGATGGAGGGAGGAAGAGGGAGGAGGGTGGAAGAGGGAGGAGGAAGGAGGGAGGTAGAAGGAGGGAGGTAGTTGTAGAGAGCGGATTGAGTGAAGGAGAGAAGGGGGTAGACGAGGGGAAGCGATGGAGAAAGGAGGAGAGGAGGAAGATTGGGAAAGGAAGGAGAGGAGAGGATTCTTCCTTCGAATTGTCTTACCCTGTTGCAGCTCCGTCATCTTCGCCACCATCATGTCGCAGATCTCAACGGTAGGATACGAATCATGTGATGCCGCAGGGTGTGACTGACCTTTCTCTCCTCCTCCTCCTCCCTACCTCCCACCCTCTCTCTCCCTTCTTCCTCTCTCTCCCGTCTCCTCTCTCTCTCTCCTCCTCCTCCTC